ATTCAAATTTTAAATAATTTGGATATTTATCATAATATAGTTGAATTAATGTTTTAATTCAAATTACATGGATTTTTTGTTAAAGAATACCTACAATATTAAATAAAAATGTTATGACAAAAGTCTACGAACGTTTTGACTGACCCTCATAAATCGAAGAAAAAAAATATCAAAACTATAAGCATAGCGTTTTGACAAACTCAATCGCATTGCAAATATGGCAAAGTGGTATTTATTAAAAATCATTTTTCTTTATTTCTTCTTAAGAACTAGCTGAGCGAACCTTTATTTGCTAAATGCCATATTTGCTAGTATAGTCCTTAGTGTTTTGGTTTTGATTCATAAATTCTACTCATAAATTTCATTGACCAGCAAGTCTGCACCCCATGTAAATTTTGTTTAACCGGTTTTCCTTCCATAAATACCGAGGCAGGGACACATTCCTATCAGTACGGGGAATTTAACTCTTACAAATTTACAGCTGTCCGTTGTCACCACTTGAAAGGTAAATTTTTGTCTATTAATTTTTTTTTGTAATTTATCTTAAGGATAGATGATACAAAATTTTTTTCTTTGGAGGAGACTTGATATCATGTCTAAAAGTGTAATATAAACTTTTTAAAAATATACCAAGGCAGGTGAATTTTATGAGGAAAAATCACATAGTCTGATCATGTAGATATCGATTAATCGCAATAAATACGCAAAAAAGTAACAAACTCTAAATGCCATTAAATTTTACGTACCGTTACCTCTTAATCTAACAGTACATTAAGAATTAGATAATATATGATAATTTTCAAAATCAGGTTTTAATTCCATACCACCTGTATTTAACAGTGTCCTTTATTTTTATTTACTTACCCAAGGGATGTGTTCGAACAAATTCCCGTTTTTCCCCCTAAAAGTGGATTTAGAACATTTAAAAGATCAAATAGAATTCCATTATCTGCAGTATAAAGAATGAACACTGAACTAATGAAAATCAATGTATTTTAACGTATGCAATGCAAAAGAGAAATTGCAACGTAAATGTACAGGAAGCTACGTTTCGATCAACTTGATGTCCAATGAAAACTTTCTGTCAAACTTGTAAACTAGATTTTTATAGTAAGAAAGAAAGTCGGTGAAAGCACAAAATTTCGAAACACTTTCCCTCAATATTGTTTACTAGCACTGTAATTATCTCAATAAGGAAATAATAAGGAGTAAAAGGAATAAGAAATAATAATATGGAAATTACCTGTTTTCGGGAAAAATATAAAATAGATATCAATCACGTATTGCTCTTATACAGAGTTATAAATACTTTTTTTTTAATAACAATTCAATATAACTTAAGTGTACCATTACATTGAGGAGTAGTGATCATAATTTTCATCTGACGAGAATTTAATTGAACCTTATTCAAGTTTGCATATCACATTTAATGAGATTGAGCTAGTTTCTCATAAACATTAAACTGTATTAAATTGTATGTTTTTTAAAAAGGACTTCAATGTTGAATTGTCATTTTCAACATTTTACCCTGAAGTATCCATCACTGAAAAACAAAATAAGACATATCAACAAGAATATGGCCAGAGCTACATGAAATAGAAAATCTGAGTCACTTTTTGCATGATTACATTTACAAGCTGTCAGTGGTTTAAAAAGTTGCCCTTTTTATTAATTTAACTTATGAGGTATATGTACATATATTTTGCAGATTACAAGCATACTCAAGCTGCTATATGTATTGTCATGAATGATTTCTGTGGCAGACAATGAGATGATTGTAAGTGAATTTCAAATGTACATAGACATTTACAAACTTCTGTATGAATTTTTGTATGAGAATTCAACCTTGAAGGAATTGAAAAAAGCTATCTTTGGAGAAAAATTTTGCAAAGTGATTTATCACTGTGTTCATGGACAATAAAAGTATTCCAGGAGAAAGCGGGGGCGTACAAGGCGAATATAACAAGACAATATATTTCTCAGTTTTCATACATGTAGTTCATATATATTTTTTAAAATATTGTCAGTAATGTCATCTTTAACACATTCGATTTATATATTTTGATGATTTTTTGTTTGAAAATTTGTTTTTTTTTTAAAGTTGATTATTATTCCTGATTCATATGACGTCATAGACAGCTGCTTAGCATTAATCATAACTAAACACTTTAAATAACGTAAAGCATAATAATAGCTTTTTATTATCATTGGTTCAAGAAGAAAGGATTTACTATTCTATCAATCTGACTTAAATAAGATTTTTCATTTGCTTCGAAATTCTAATAGCAAAGCATTCTGGAGAGACTCTGGTTTAATCACAATTTCAATATCTTACAATGAAACTGAAGCGAAAAATGCTGCATACCCCAAAGAAATCTGCCATTAAACATCTGGATACTCATCAACTATAGCAATATAAATTCAAACTCTGCATACACATTGAACTCTGCAGATCTATTGAATCTAACTGTCTTAATGGCACTGCATTTCTGATTACTCACGACAGTTTAATTTCATCATTTTATTGATTCTTTTCAGAGGGCTATTACATACATGTGCCAAACACTACAAACATTAATAAATTTATAAACATAAAATTTACTGACTTTCTATTGTTAATATAATAATTATTACAGCTACTAATGAAAGATAGTTTTTGTATAAAATAAAAGCGTCGGCTTTTTCAGCTGTTGTATTTTAAGCAACTTATGTGTGTTACATATATAACCACTAAATATAAAAATATAGAAGGTAAGAGTTGTCTTCTCTGACGTTATAAAAGTGCTTTTAAAAAAGCTACGTAAAAATAAATACAGATTTTAAGAAAAAAAATTGATGGAGCCAGAAATATAATTTACTTTTTTTTAAATTAATAATCCGTGTAAGATTTACAAACGTATGTACATGTAACAATATGCATTCATATTTATACTTTAAATAATATTTATTCTGTTCTCTTTTTGCAATTTATTAAAATGTATACCACGAACTAAGAACAAAATCTTCAATAATTCTCACAGTATATATATATATATATATATATATATATATATATATATATATATATATATATATATATATATATATATATATATATATATATATATATATATATATATATATATATATATATATACCCACAATTTCTTGAAATATAGCTATCACAAAGTCCAATAATCCCACATTTCATTTTTATCTCATTCTTTCTCGTGACCATCAGAATTTTTTCTGTTCTTACGTAAAAGTTTTAAAACCACCAAATTATTATCCTGTAAATTCAAAATCGAAATATCTGTTTATGTTAAGCTCTTCATTAAATTCGTTAATACCCATTTGTGAGTTAATAAGCTCGAAAATTGACAACTGCAATTGATTGTACTAAGTAAATATTGTTTGAATAGTTGTTGAATGAGTTTGAACGCTACGTCCATCTATATCAAACAGATATTGACTATTTCATAGAGTCAAGCAAATACAATGATATAGTCTCTTCAGCTCATCGCCTGTTATTTTTGTCAAACAACGGAAACTGATCAAAATGGGAGACCTTTCACTCATGAAGATCTTTCACGTCATTAATTGTGTACTCAATACCCTGAAAAACATTCACATCGAATTATTTACAGATAGTAATTGCCAGGTACACTTAGGTAAATTGCTCAGGAGATACAAAGGTCTAATTCTGTTATTCTACTAAGCTTATTTCCGATATCATCGAAAAGTTTCGGTACGCTTTGAATAAGATAATACAGTTTCGCCAGTTCATTACCGGCAATTTTAAACAACTGAAATTGATCGAAACACGCACCATCCAATTATGATCTTTCACGTCAGTAATTGTGTATTCAATACCTTGAAAAACATCCTCGCTTTCACGCTGTTTAATTGTTATATGTCTATACTACTCGCAGATCAAGACATCCGTCTACTATAATTTAAAGGCTTATTTTCGATAGAATCGAATGATCGAAAAATACAGTGTATTTAGTGTATGCCTATAAAATAAGTGACCATAGTAAAAAGAAAGTAGTATATCGCAAATTTGATAGGGTAGGCATGTTTTAATTCTTCATTTTTTCTTTCAAAATAGCTAATCAAGAATTGGTGCTGGAACTTGTAGTATTATTTATCAGAGTCATAATTATGAATTCCATCTACTTATCTGAATTAATTACATGTCTTAATAAGCATAATACGCAGTACTTCAATTCACCTATCATTGCAATTTTTAATTTTAACGAAAAACTAGGGTTTTATCTTTGATAAAAATTAAAAATTGGCAAATTAAAAGATTTTAAATGTTTTAACTGAAAACAAAGCAACAAAATTAACATAAAATGCTATTTGCAATGAAAACCTTTCTTTAGTCAGGAAGTTTGAAAGAATAGCATTTGACCGTATTAACATTTGTTGGTACACTGAAATGAATTCAGACGGTTTTACTCTACCTTTTGTGTTGTCAAGAACATTTAGTGGAAATTCAATGCAAAGCATCAGTGTAACAAGAAACATTAGCCACAAAGATACTTCAAATAAAAAGATATATTAATAAGCACAAGATGTGTCTGAATGACAGGAATGCCCCCGCTGACATGCAAGTTTTAAACATGTAAAGTCCAACTGTGTGACAATAACAATTGGTTGGAAATGGCAAAAAATTAAATTTTCATACTGCTGCTTTCATTTTCTGGAATTAGTAGTCAATATCACAGCACATGCTTAAACTTTGTGAAACGGTGATCACTTACAAGCAAAGTACGTAAATACAAAGGTCCCCCCCCCCCCAAAAAAAAAGAAGAAAGTCTAAGGGCATGACAGAACCATTTCTTCGCCATTTCCTTCCAAAAGTAAAAAGTAAGAATTTTCCTGTTTGAGTTTGATACAGTTCTATATTTATAAGCCTAGACTGTAAAACTGCTCATCAAAGATAAAGACAAACAAAGCTCAATAAAAGATAATATTTTGCGGCATCAGGGTTCACGTTTATTGAAAATAGTGCTTTACATTAATGCAAACACGAGGATGCACCACTGAATGAAAACAAAAATGTAAAAATAGTACGTCATCACTCTGTCATATCCCTCAGCTAAAATTTTCCAAGTGACTTTCTCTTCTGCTTCAATATCTTGCATATTTTTGTCACCAGACATGTTACTTTTTTCGAAACCTTCATCCAAATTGGCGGACTTGTCGAAGTCTTTAGACTTCTTCTTACGTTTTCTACAGACGCGCCACAGACATCGGAGTCTCAGAACATTTAGTATAAAAATATGTTTACCTGAAATTGGTAATATGGAATCTTTGAAATGAAACCTCATTGTAACAACAGCCAAAACGCATACTAAGGTGCTCATAGACATCGTAACTATTAGGAAGTACGACATCAAAGACATTGGCTCGGAAGATTTTGGTATACTGTCGCAGAGTAAAGTCATAAATACGGCAAATGACAAGAAGATTGTTATAGCATAAGACACACGTTCTCCGCTTTCAACTGGTAGGGCAAACACAAGAGGGTTGAGTAAAGACAATAGAAGAATAGGGACTAACATGTTTATAACAAAATAAAGAGATTTCCTTTTCAAAATGAATTGACATTCAATTAAGTTATCGTAATCTCCTAATGACGACCGCTTCATCACTGTGCCTTCCAACGACCATTGAGCATTTGCCGAGTAATAAGTCGTATCCACATATGTCATATTGTTATAAGGAATTAATCTAGCTTCAAATGGCGAATATCCCCACAGAGCTAACGTGAAAGAGCACGATTGTGTGTCAAATGGAAATTTATACATGTCGACGTTGCACAAAGTCTGAATCAGACCTCCTGGTACAGTGCAGGAAACTAATTTTGTTACAGCATCGATGCTGATTTGAATGCTTCCTTTGCTTGCTGATTTGAATGCTTCCTTTGCTTGCTGATTTAATGCTAGTAATCCTTATCCTGATGCTGTTTTATAATTAGGTCAATGCTACCGCAAGTAGCATCATGCTACCGGAAGTAGATAATGAATTTCAGCATTGCCGTTTAAAGCAAAAAAAGTGCCTTTTACAATTATTTGATCATAATATCTCACTATGTATCAATAATGTGAATACTTTAACCAAAATTCTTTCTTTCTTTTTTAATTTTTTACTGAATTAAAACTCACTGATTTTCTGATGCTAGTAGGATAATGCTGATTTTATGTAGGTCAATGCTGGTTTTATCCTTTGCTTGCTGATGCTAATCCTGGTAATGCTGTTTTTTAAATGCTGATGCTGATGCTAGCTCGATCCTGATGCTACTAATGCTTATGCTGATGCCGGTTTATGTAACAAAATTAGTTTCCTGCACTGTACCCATATCACTAGACCAGAATAAGAAATTCTACCTATGAAGTCTTCATTTCCAATAGCTTCCATCTTTTTGGCTGGGTCAATCAAAAAGATATTCGGAACCCATAGTTTCTGTTTGGGAACAGGAAGATCCTTGATTTCACCATAGTTGCTCGGTGTCCAAATCAACCGAAAATCATGCCAAAACAGCATAAATCCACTTACAATGGACAAAACCCCAGACACCTCATCAAAATCGTTTACTGAAAATATCATCGACTGAATAAAGACTTCTAATACTTCTGACAGGTTTTCTTTTGGTCGGATATCGGTTGAATAGTTTTGAAAGACATCCTGAAGAAGAGATTCAGCGTCTGAATATAGAAAACCGTGAACAGATGTTAACGACATTCCATTGATCAACAGTAGAAACAAACACAAACTAGCAGATTCTTTCTTCATAATTTTCTCTAGCAATCTCCGCGTGGAGAAACCAGCAATATGACTAAGGTGGAAAATATTTATGCGATGATTTCCTACACATTAAGTATGATATCTTTATTAAATAGTTTTACAAGCAAATCTGAAATTCAGTTTCTCTTGTTTTGTTTTCCGAAAAACAAAGATCTCTTCAACAATTATCAAATAGCAATATCTGCTTTCAAGTATCTAAAGTATTACCGGAGATCAAGTTAAATAAAATCCGTTTTTCTGTAAATGTTATCACACTATCTCTGAATCCTGATTTTTCCTCTCTTTTTTTTTGGACTGTTGTTTTTCGATTTTAATTTAGTGAAACAGATTCCTTACGACATTTCTGATTATGGCTGTGTTAAATTGGCATTAGAAGCCGAGAAATTTGTGCCTTTTATATAAATCCTGACGTCATACAATTCCTTTTAGTTATTAGCCTCGACTTGCTTAATGCATATTATCTGTTCACATAGAATTCTTCCTGAGTCGATCAATGAGAATTATTATATAACAGATTGTTCGAGAAATATTATCAGAGTTATAATACAAAGGATAGAAAAAAGGGTCGAATTCAGGGCATCAGTCGACAAAAACAAATTTATCTCACTATATTGCTATTGTAATATTATCGGGTACATACATTCATGAACGTGACTTTTTTCCCTAGTTAATGTTTCCTTTTCCTCTCCAGTAAAATAGCAGATACAATCTGTACTTGTTCAGCATTATAATCTTTTTTATCCAGTGAATCTTCATTTCAATCTCTTGTTTGTTTCCAAAATATATTTCTTGACAATTCCTTGTAAACAAAATAATTCTTAATGTATATTAATACTTATGGGTCTTCATAAAAAGAAACAGAAATTGAATCAAGATTAGGATGTGGGAGTGTTTTGCTCAACTCAAAAACGTAGAACAAAGAGAAGAATAAGTTTTAAAATTCTTATGATAAGGAACAACAGAGCCAAGGTAGCTAAGGTAAGTATTGCGGCACTTTGGCCTTTTGTTGATATGTGTTCTTATAAAAATCCAGTCCACCATGATCTCTAACTTCTTCCAGTATAGTCTCAGAAACCATGAACCGAGCAAATCTGAATCTTTAATGCTTAAGGATGAATGCCTATCACTATGCCCCACCCTGCTCTTCTTTTTAAATGAAAGAGGTGTCAATTTTATTCCAATATGTTCTTTGGTAAAACATTGCCCTCTCTAATGGTCTCATCTAAGTTTAAAAGTATTCCTATGCAAAATTATCTTTTCAAAATGGCCCAGATTTCAACAAATTTAATTGTAAACCCTATTCTACAAACACAGAGATACTTGCATATTAAAATACCTAATTGTGGGAATGATGTACTTGAGAATATTTGGTCTGTATTATTCCCATATACATTATAGTAAACACCGACTCCCTACTTTATACTGTAGTCCTACTCCATCTATGTTAAGTGGTCAAGATTTTTTTTTCAAATTTTATTCCAGACTACATGAATAAGGTAATATATTAAAATGATTTATTGTGGCCCTGCTGTTTGAGAGAAGAATATCTTTATAAATTGTTCCTATATTTTGATATACAAAAAATTTACTTTTAATGGAACCAAACCTAGCCCTAGGGGGTCATGATTTATAAAAACTTAATGTATGCTCAAGTCTGTCCCGCGGTCATCACTTTGCATTTTATCTCAAAATACAAAAATACGTGTTCTTTCAAACTAGAAAAGATCAGGGGCATTTGATCATTTCCCCCAAAAACTTTTTGCTTTTATAGGGACATTCCAGTTTAACTAGTCCATAGCAAATTCAAATTCTATGGCATTTAATGTAATGATATGACCGCCCCTTTTATTCGTGATTTTTTCTGTGCTTGCCAACAATAACAGAATAAATCTATACGTCATATTCGGATAATTTCTGCCTGCCTTGCGCGCTTGACAGCAATGGTCATTAATAACATTGTATATTTCCGTAGACTTTGAAACATCGTGTCACATTTGTTGTTTCAGGCTGTATGTATACAATCTGGCGAAAATGGCTTGGAAATGAGGAAAATTTTACTGTTTAATTAAATTTTCTTTTAAGAAATGATTCAAAATCTATTTGACATCGAAAAAATATAGTGGAAGCAGTCATGTGGGACAGACAATTCTGAAGATGTTTGCATATTAATATGACAAATTGTGACATTGCTGTTTTTGAGAAGACGATTTTTAATGATTTTTAAAATTGATTTTTTTGTTTGGTATATAGGTATATACTCGCAGGTCAAATATTGGATATCTATTGCAGCCGCTCCCTAGCCCTGGGTCTTCACTATATGAAAATGATTGAGTATAAATACAAGGTGCCCATGGGACACAATGATCACGCTTGTTACCCTCAAATATATTTTTTGAAAAATTATGATCCCAAATTGTAACCTCAACTTACATGTAGATAAAAGGATTCATAATTGGATCAAACCAACTTACCAATCTTACTAACATGGATTTGTTGTTCTGCAGAATTTTTCAAAGATTTCAATTTCCTGTATTCTACATGTATTATGTATAATTTGATTCCCGACTTTACAGATTAACATTGCATCTATTTCTCAAAGTACATGTAGTATAAAGAAACCAATTCTATTCTAAGTGACAGAATCACTTCAAATCTAAGATTCCAAAGCAACGATTCAGATATAAGTATTATTTTCAAATTAAAGCATGGCAATTTTTAATTCAGGTACAGAATTCTTTTCGAAAATAATACTCTCAATAAGCTATCATCCTAAAGGCTCGATTCAGGCTAACTGCAACAATTCAGAGGTAAAGATAAATACAAAGTCAAATCACAAAGTTCAGTCATTTTGCAAAGTAGCTCAACTGTTGTATCCCCTTATGATCTTTTTTCCAAGGGGAAAGTATTTCATAATTTTAGAAAATGGCTCATTGTTTAGAATTTTGATTTTTTTTTTCAGCTAAATTTTCAAGGTAGAGAACAAAAACTTATAGATGCAATGCATTTTAAGAGTCATATCCTGGAGCTTGAAGACTGTTACTAAAAAATTTCGCAAAGGGATCACGTCTTCTAGATATGATCAATTACGTTCCATGTTTTTACTATAGAATAGAGAACCATTTTCTTTGTAATTCGAAGAAATTAGGAAGATATTCAAAGCATTTTACCAGAAACGTTCGTGTACTTTGAACTCTAAGTGCTTTGCTTATATCATTTAACCAAAAATTTCACTAGAATTTCAATGCCATGGCGTGTGTCAGGAAACATACCACCAATAAGGGTATAATTAGTTCAAAAACATCATTAGGATACATCTTCTATATATTCGCATATCACTTATATGTTTATTTCGAGGGATGAGAGAAAAATACATAAAATGAAATGAAATGTGAAGTTAACGAACAGTATTCATGGTCAAAGTGAAACCGAAAACAGAGGTGGGAACAGGTGCCATATAGAAGTAAACATTCCCTGTTGACGGGTCACACCCGCCGTGTGCCCTTTGTCATGATCGGGTAAACGGAAAAAATGTGAATACTCGTGAAAATAAATAATGAAAAATGTCCGTCAACATTCGACGTACTTAACGATAGATTGTAGTTGCAAGCAAGGTCATTGTGTCGACCATAGAATTTGCGGAACGTCGACTTTCAAGAACATTCTTAATTTCCTTGCACCCTCAACTTATTTGTCAATGGCCTGAGCCTGTTTCGTTTAAGCAATTGATCATACGTAGAACATGCTCTTGCGATTAATCATGGAAAGTCCGAGACATAAACCCCATAGGAAGGTGATTGTGGTATATTGCTACATACATAAGGAAAGGTGACCATAGAAAAAATGATGTCATCACGTTTATTTCCCATTAAGTTTAGTTGTTAGTTCGCCGTCAATATCTTTTTCTTATGAATCATCCAAATATGAAGCAGATGTGTCAGACTCTGTTTTTTTTTTTTTTTTTTTTTTTTGAATTTGATGGGATATATCAAATGAAAACGAAACGAAATGAAAATGAATATTATTAATTGATAAAACATCGTCGATATATCTAAATGTCGAATTGAATGCCACAGCTATAGATCTTCATCTTTTCATGCAGAAGATTTTGAATAAATTTTGCTTCATATGTTTTTGTGAGGTAAGATTGTTATAGGGGGTTAACCTAGATTCATATGGCGATTACCCCAACAGAGCTAATGTAAAAGCGCATGATTGTGTGTCGAAAGGAAATTTATACATGTCTACGTTACAAAGAATCTGAATCAGACCTCCTGGTAACCATGTCACTATGTCAGTATATGAAATTTTTCCCAAGAAATCTTCATCTCCAATTGCCTCTATTTCTTATAGCTGGGTCAATCAAAAAAATGCTTGGAACCTAAAGTTTCTGCTTTGGAATAGGAATGCCGTCGATGCCACCGTAGTTTTTTTGGAATCCGAGTCAATAAAAAACAGAGTTCTTTATCATTACAAATTAAACTGTGGCGCAAGACTTATGCAAAACACTTATATTCGCGTTTTTTCGCAACCGAATTTGCGAAGTAACAACAGCTTTTCTGAATCACTAGTTAAGTTTAATACACAAACTGTATTAAATATTTGACAAACTGAAGAATAAATTTAATGATGATTAAAAATAATGAAACGGATGTCAAGTTTATCATAGTGTAAAACAAAAATTAAAATATTTCCCATGTATAGTGTACGGTAAAAAAAGACAATCTTGCTGTGGCGCTAATATTAACTGTGGAAGGACTATAGCGCTGAGGGTTTTTTTTCCTGTGGAGCTAATATTTTTCTGTGGCGGAACTATGGCGCTGATTTTTTAACTTTGGTGCTAAGGAATTTAACTGGCAGGGCCGCCATGTTAAACGGCCCATGAAGAACCCTGCGAAAATCATGCCAAATCAACCTAAATCCACTTATAATGGACAAAACTCCAGAAACCTGAACAAAAACATTCAATGAAAAAACAGTCGTCATAAGAGAGACACCGAGAACTTCTGAGAAGTTCTTTTTTGGGCGGACATCTGTTGAGTAGTTCTTAAAATTATAGCGAAGAAGTGATTCAGCGTCTGAATATAGGATATCATATACGAGTAAAGATGTAAATAATACTCCTTCAATAAAAAAGAGAAACCAACACAAACTATCAGCTTCTTTTCTCATTATCCTCTTTTAAACAATCTGTGTGGAGAAAGAAGGAATCTGCATGAAAATAGTCGATTATGTATTATATATGTAGTAGGAAGTGTTTTTGTACACTTTATTTATGTTGAATTCCCTTTTTCTTTTTGACAAGTATTAGGTAGAATTTAAAACAGTACTTGCTGAAATTCAATTGGGTCAATAAGGTAAAAAAAAAAAACAAAACAAAAAAAAACAAAAAAAAAAAAACAATGATCTTATTACTACTTATCAGACAACAATATTTGTTTACAAGTTTCCAAAATACTACCTCAGAATAAGTGACATATCACAATATTGCAGAATATAGATCTCCATTTATTTTCTTTTTAGGTAAGTATTTTACAAATTTATTTTATAGAAGCAGATTCCTTGGGATTTTCTGATTATGATTGTGTGCTTTCAATGTTATAAGCCGAAGGTTCATATAAAATCATTCTGTCGAATAATTCCTTTTATATTACAGCCTCGAACTGCTTCATGTATATGATCTGTTCATCTAGCATTCTTTATGAGTCGATCAATAATAAGCATATGATAATCGAGTCTTGAAAAAATTATCATATTTATAATTACATCGGATAGCGTTTTCAAAAAATCCCAAAATTCTTGTTTGCTGTCATTCGTTTACAATGCATCGCCTCACATTTCTTGTAAAACAAGATAATCCTTATTAATAAGGATGTTAATGATCATTCAAATGAAAAAAAAGGGAGAAAGGAGAATGTTGTAGGTGATTGAAATTCATTAACACAACCTTTTGCATATACATTGATATTTTGATTATTATTGTCATTTTGATTTTTTTTTTTTTTTTGAAAAAGAGTCATTTCCAGTCTCCACAGATTCACGACACATGCCAAACACTTCAAAAATCTTAAATTAATACTGACCCATAAGAGTCACTTGCTTCTAAACTACATGTATATAATAAGATCCTTTTTTTAATCATCTGCAAAAAGAGTTTTTAAGAAGTGTCAAAAGGCAAATGCTTCATAGATCTTCAATTATTGTAACTTAAGGGTCGATAATACAAGAAGTAAGCAATATTAAAGTAATCCTCTCTATATGAATACTTTATACAGATATAAATATGAACAATAAAACATTTTTCTTTGTTTAATCTGGGGATGAACAGCTATTATCAAATTATAGCTGTTCAAATTATAAATATTATATATGGAAGCAACTGTTCCTTCGCTATGCGCTCGGCACTTTGAAGTGAAATTTGCGGGTCCTTCGGATGAGACCTTAAAAACCGAGGTTAAGAGATGATAGGACAGAATTCGAATAAAGTCGAGTCACTAGGAAAAAAAGTTTAAAATATAAATACAAAAGATGTACACATATTAACATTACTTTTTAAGTCCTCTCACCCAAAAACGATCCTATCCATTTTTTAACTGGAAAAAATCATGATACAAATATATAAAATTTTCATCCAAAGTTCCTCAAATAACAGCATAAAAGTAGTTTAAAGCATTAGAAGAACTTTAAAATATGTGACCGAAAAGGAATGATCAGATAAGAACTTCGCTACAAAATACATTTTCAAATTATAGCAGCTAGGGTAAACAAAAATCTTTTTAATAATTATTCAAAGTATTTTCAATATTTTCAGGTTTTAAACCTAGTCTTGTGAGCATATTCAAATTAGTCTAACCGCCCCAAATAGCCATGAAAACAAGCTTTAAGCAAGGGATGTATAGTTTGAAAATCATAATCTTTTTGAAAATGGGCTAAACCTTGGAGAATGAACCTTTCATATATTGATAGTGGAATAGCAGTGTAACCTGTTAAACCAAAGTGTTGAAAGAGCTGGAAGATGATAAGGACTAGGAGTATCTACCGATTTATTTGTAAACGTTCAATTAAAAAAACTGTTACAGGTTCGTTATATGTTTGTCCTGCACTCTTTTTTGTATGTTCATTAAAATATTTAGACAACACCCATCTTTATTTAATTCTTTCAGGGTGTATTTTCGCGCATGGAATATACCAACAATTCCACGAAAATTATTAACCCACCACAAAACCTAATGATTCCAAAGTGGATGTTTAGCTCCCTTTTCGACTTTTCTTCTTTCGTAAAGTTTGGAAACCAACCAACCTCATAAAAGAAATCAAAATGTCTGTTTATCGTAAACTCTTTATTAAATTCATTAATATCTCAACGCGAGTTAATAAGTTCGAAATTTGATAAAAAAAATCAATTAATATTAAAAGAAAAAAATCGATTGAAAAGTTGATGAATGAGTTTGAACCTTATCAGCTTTCCAAATTAATCAGACCATTCCATAGAATTAATTAAATATTCGTCTGTGATTATTTCAATCAATTGAAACTGATTGAGCGAGAGACCATCCAATTATGATAGTTCTCTCATGTCACTAATTGTGTACATAATTGTATACCTTGGGAAAAAATCCTCTTCATGCTTGTTACTGGTAATATTGATCAAGTACAACTAACAGATTGAGACGACTGTTATTCTACTACATATATGTTTACCTATCTAAAGCATTAACACATTTTATTAATAAAGAATAATGCCCACTTTTTCAATCAACCTACAGTATTGTCATTAAAATTTGAATATTCAAGAAAAACTAGGAATTCATCTTTTATACAAAAAAAAAAAAATCCAAATGCAGACATTAACATATAGGCTTAAATGCAAATTAGAAACATTTGGAAAATATATTTAAAATTACGAATATGCCATCCACAATGAATACCTCTCCTTTCTCTTGTAGTTTTGAAGACATTTTATTGCATTTCACCAGATACAGGAATGTAAGTATGTTTGATTTATTGGTCACAAGTGCATATTGAACAAATGTTTGACAGGTCGAAAGGATACATGTACATGTACATTTACATGAACTTGCAGTTCAATTTTAATAAGACTACTACTTCATGTAGGATTTAAATGTTTTAACAAACCTTAAAAAGAAAACTGAACTATTGCTTATAACATAATAGTCTTTAAAGAAAAAAAATAAATTGAAATCAATTCAATAGCTGGTAAACGTATTGTTAATATCTTATATTAGCTTTTCGTCATTTTAAATCACATATATTATTCTTTGAGATCGAACCATTAATGCCCCGGATTTCTTTTTTTTGAAAATTCTTTTTAAATTTTTTTTTACAAGTCTTAAATGAATGTCTAATCTTTCTTCTTGAAAGAATTTTGAAAAAAAAGGTGCTTTGATAAATATCAATACGTTAATCTCAGAAACTTAATTTTGGACTTATTTTGAAATATAAACTACAAAGATTTAAGAAATACATTCGCTTATTATATAAACTGATTATAAGCTTGAAAGGAGCCATATGCCATACATGACGGACTCATTTGTACTGTATTTGCATAATCTGACACTTAACACTATTCATTTGAAGGTAATTCTATAATTTAATATTGATATACTTTAAAAGGAGCAGTGTACTAATACAACCTCTTATTGAAAAGGTCATATTTCAGAACACGAAGAAAATAAGTCAGAAAATTTTAAACGGTCAAAACAATTGGCATTATATATTCGCTTTGTGGTCCCAGTGTGCGTTCTTATTACATGTATATTGAAAAAAATTAAAATTTAATATGAAAAAAAATGAAACAGCATATTTACATGTAAGTTTGTTTATTCAATATTTCTTAAGTTTAAAGCACATATTTTCACTTTCTTCAAAAATTAAAAAAAAAACTTTATGCGATCGGTACAATGCATGGATAATGATTTTCATATTTTGTTTATGCCAAATTGCAAGACAATATCAGTCTCCCCCTTTCTTTTCCAAAAGTTAGAATTTTACTGTTTGAGTTAGGTAGAGTATTATATATAAGTCTATTTTTAAATCTGCTCATGAAAGATAAGAGCAACCACGGCTCAATAAAAGATAATTATTCAGAACATATATATTCAAGTTCCATTAAGAAATTTATTGAAAAAAAGTTTTACATTAATATCAATACAAGGATAAACCATTGAAGGAAAACAAAAATGTAAAAATATGTCGTCATTACTCTATCATATCCCTCCGCCAAAATCTTCCAAGTGATTTTCTCCTCTGTTACATAATTTTGTGTATTTTTGTCCTCGGCCTTATTACTCTTTTCGAAGCCTTCATCAAGTTTTGCAGAATTGACAAAGATCTTAGACTTCTTTTTGCGTTTTCCACAATTACGACACAGACATCGGAGTTTCAGAATGTCAAGCATGAGAACATGTTTCCTGGAAATTGGTAATATAGGATCTTTAAAATGAAAACGCATTGTAATAACAGCCAAAACACATATCAATGTGCTCATAGACATCGTAACAATTAAGAAGTATGACATCAAAGACATTGGCTCGGACGATTTTGGAATACTGTCGCTAAGTAATGTCATAAATACGGCAAACGACAAGAAGATTGTTATAGCATAAGAAACACGTTCTCCGCTTTCAACTGGTAAGGCAAACACTAGGGGGTTGAGTAAGGACAATAGAAGTACAGGGGCTAACATGTTTATAACGAAATAAAGGGATTTCCTTTTCAAAATTAATTCAAATTGAATTAAGTTATCATATTCTCCTAGTGCAGATCGCTTCATTACTGTTCCTTCCAATGACCATTGAGCATTTGACGAGTAATAAGTCGTATCCACAGACGTCATATTGTTAAAAGGAGTTAATCTAGCTTCAGTTGGAGAATATCCCCACAGAGCTAATGTGAAAGTACATGATTGTGTGTCAAATGGAAATTTATACATATCAACGTCGCACGTAGTTTGAATCAGACCTGCTGGTACCCATGACACTATGCCAGAATAAGAAATTCTGCCTATGAAGTCTTCATCCCCAATCGCTTCCATCTTTTTGGCTGGGTCAATCAAAAAGATATTTGGTACCCATAGTTTTAGTTTAGGGACGGGGAGTTCCTGGATGCCACCATAATTGCTTGGTGTCCAAGTCAACCGAAAGTCATGCCAAATCAGCATAAATCCACTCACAATGGACAAAACTCCAGAAACCTCATTAAAATCGTTGACTGAAAATATGAATGACGAAATAGAGACCTCTACAACTTCTGATAAGTTCTCTTTTGGTCGAATATCGGTTGAATAGTTTTGAAAGACATCCTGGAGAAGTGATTCAGCGTCTGAATATAGAAAACCGCGAACAGATGTTAACGACATTCCATTGATCAACAGTAGAAACAAACACAAACTAGCAGATTCTTTCTTCATAATTCTCTCAAAAAATCTCTGTGGAGAAACAAGCATTCTCTCTGTTATTGGCCGAGTGTGGAAAATGTTTATGCAGTGATTTCAAACACGTTAAGCTTAATACCTTTTCCCGCTTGATCAGTTTTAAATAGTTCTTTACAACAATCATTGCAGAAATTCAGTTGTCTTATTGTGTGCTTAAAAAAAACAAAGATCTCTTTAACAATCATCAAACCGCAACATCAAATTTCTAGTTACAAAAGCGTTACCTCAGTACAAATAAAATAAACTCCATATTCTGTAAATATTATCACACTATCTCAGAATCAATCCTCATTTATTTCTTTTTTCCAACAGATATCTGTCGATACAGATTCCCTACGACCTTAATGATAATGAGTCTGTACATTCAGTATTTTGCTCCTGTTATATAAATAAATCGTCAGACAGTTCCTTTTATATATCGGCCTCGACTTGAGACATGCATTTTATCTGTTTATCTAGAATTCTCAATGGGTCAATCAATATTGACTATTAAATCACCGATTCATCGATAAATCATACCATTTATAAATTTGTAGGATAGATTTGAAATTGTTAGCAATAGTGGACAAAAACAAATTTATCCCAAGATCTCTTGAACATGAATTTTTTAATCAATATATATTACTGTAAACGTATTACACTGGCTGTGTATTCTTTTTAGCGCTTTTGGAGGAAAGCAACTTCCGCTGATTCAAGTTCAACGCTACCTGTATATATACATATAAAGAAGAACATTAAGAGATGCGCTAAATCAGATCTACGCTAACTTGTTCAAAATTCAATTTCCGCCAAATATCGTACGCGCTAAAAATAACACATGTGCATTTACAGTATTTTCCCCGAAGTACAATAGCAGAAACAGACTGTATTTGCTCAACGTCATTATTTTATTGACTAGTGGATCTTTATATTGTTTCCTTATAGATGTATTTGCTTCTAAAATATATTTCTTGACAACATCAAATAAATAATGATAAGTGTATATCAAAATTATACCTCCTTAAAGGGAACATAAATGGATATACAATCAGGGACTGAAGTAGGGAATAAATTGATCCCAAAATCTTTGGTACTTACATAACATTACTTGGTACATTAATTCATAAACTTTTTTCTTTCTAACAAAATATTTTCTTTTCCTCTGAAGAACAATAGCAGATAAAAACTGTATTTGCTCAATGTCATCATATTAACTAATGGATCTTTATTTTCATCTAGATATATTTGCTTTCAATTGTTTTTGACAATGTCCAATGAATAAATAATGTATATCAATACAAATTAGTAAAGGGAACATAAATGGAAATAGAATCAGAGGTTGTAGGTAGAGACTAAAAAGGAATTCACAGAACTCTTAACATACCTGTAGATCCTTTGAATTTAATTGTCTTAATGGCTATAGTTTTTTTTTCTTTTGAATACTGTAAGTTTCATTCATTTACAGAAGGTCGTTACACTTGCAAAAACAGTTTGAATTAATGCTGACTCTTAAAAGTTATGGATCTTTATCTATTATGTTTTATTTATTTATTTTTGTAAAAAAAAAAAACACCGACTCTTTTCAAACATAATGATTACGTCTTATATACCATGTAAGGAGAATTTTTAGCAAGGATTCAAATTTTGGCATTACGACGGTTGTCCACAACGTTCGTGTACAATGACGTTTTTGTCGAACTGAATGATCTAAGATATACTGATTCTATACCAAAATATTTGCTATGAAAATCCCAATCGTTTGGTTTTGGTTGCTTGAACTTAATATTTTTGTAAAAATCGAGGCTATGTAATAAGCACCAAGGCACACTTTTATCCTAAAACAACTTCTACATTATTACCATGAAATTTAAGTCAAGGGATGACACAAATATACGTAAATCATCTTGTTACAATTCTGGAAGTAAACATATTTTTAGGTATAATTTATACATGTTTATCTTCCATATATAAGCTCCATTTTGGGAACCGGAGTTTTTATCATACATGGGATATGAATTTCACAACTTTGAACTTAATATTTCAAAATAAATGTTGACCCCCATATATTGTTGCCCTACTCTAGTCTCTAAGTGAGTGACCTAACTTGATCAAACTTTTATGCACACTACATGTACATAGGGTTGCTAAATATAGTTTTCTTTAAAATGACAAAATAATTTGTTTCGTGTGAAATATTATTTCCTTGTTTTAGCCCTGTCCTAAATCCATGATCTATATTTTTTATATTGCAATATAATTAGCTATCCAAGTTTAATCAAGGGTATACAGTGATTTATTCCAGGTTGTATTCCATACACCCTTTGGCCGAAGGGTGTATGAATTGCAAACCGGGATAAATCCCCGTACACCGTCGATTGGATCTGGATTTTGTTTCCTCTGTAATCACACGTCCAATCAATGGTGTTTCAAGATCACCATCTCGTTTTACAAGCTAGGTAAGAAATAAACCATTATTACCTGCACGCGTCGTTTATCTTTCCCAGTTGATTCAATACGCAAAGACGTGTCTTATGTACGAACAATTTCCAAAGCGACGCAGGGTAATGACTCGTTTAAAGTCAACATTTTGTAAATTCTGTAGTTTCAAAAACAACCTGTCGTTAGGTCAAATATTGCATTGACTGAAGTTTTAATGAAAACACTCTTGGGCTTTTATTTTCATACGGATTCTCTTAGGATTACTCTGATTTCCCGATCACGACACAATCTCACACCAGGCGTGAGCGGTCAACAGAGAATGCTTAACCCTTCATGGCACCTGATCTCTTATTTGGTGTTTCCAGGAGTCCGTTTTTGGTCAGCTCTTAATTTGTATAGTTAAACTTATACTTTATGGCATGACTACTGTTCGTCGTCTTTACATTCCATTGCATGTGTTGATGTTGATTATCATAAAAATCCTTTAAAATGAAAATATAAATATGTCCAGACTTATTCTCCTTTCTTCAGGAAGAAAGAACACATTTATTTTAAATAACTATACATTAATTTCGATACCCATCAAGCATACTTTTAGTATTCTTTATCATATCTGCCATAAGAAATTGTTCATTTTAGTCAAATAAACACTGTTTAAGTCATATCACGATGCTTCATAGGAAAAGAACGAATTCGTAAGAAAGGGGTCCTCTATTCTACGGTACACGGCTAGATGTTTATCTCCTTTGTTTCTCGTGACCTTCTGACCTTCCTCTAAGCTTTCGTAGATTTTTGAAACTACTGGATCATTATCCTACAAAATGCAAATCGTAAGTCCTAGTACTTTAAACGCTTTATCAATTTCGTTTATATCCTCTTACAAATAAATATTTTATGAAATTAAAAAAAGCAATTAATTTTTACAGATAATAATTGATTGAACATTTCTAAATACGTTTAAAAGCTCTGAGCTTTCTAATTAAACAAGTTATTAACAATTTAATATTTAAACAAATCCGATAATACAGTCTCACCAGTTCATCTCCGGGGATTCTGTCAAACAATGGAAACTGATCGAAATGGGAGACCATCCGATCATGTAGATCTTTGACGTCAGTAATTGTGCACACAATACCCTGAAACATATTTACATCGAATTATTTACAGTTAGTAATTATCAAGTACCAAAGTGGTCAACTGAAATTCAGATATCCGTTATTCTACAAAACATTTCCCCCGATACTTTGATTTCCAGATTTCCCTGTGTGCATTTAAGGAAGGAATATCGCTAAATGAAAGTAACATAACCCAACTTTGATGACGTAAGCATATTCAGCTAAGAGTCTGACTTACAATTCTCCATTTGTGTCTTGTCTTTTTGAAATGTGAATCAGGAAAGAGAAAAAAAAAAACATCTTCGAAAGGCAAAATAAAAGAGTTGACACAGTCTAAAACACTGCGTATCAAAATGAACGAAAAGGGAGGCAAGATTTTAGTTAATATTTGACATGAGTAACAATATCGCTCACTTACAGAGGCATAAACACATTTCACTAAGAAAGAAAGAGGATTATTTATATCCATCTCACGTATCATCACTGACAATGGGGAAAAAGGCCAGGGATTAAAAAAAAATGTTACATGAATTGTACAAAATTCCAAAAGCGGTAGATACCTGTCCTTTCTCGAAGAAGTTTGGAAAATATTTCATAGCATTTGATCGGATACAGGAAATGTTGGTGTATTTTCCGAGATTCTGAACTCTAATCGCTTTGATTCTACCTTTTACGTAGTCGAGCACTTTCACTCGAATTTCAATAGCAAGCATCAGCGTATCTGGAAACATTTGCGACAGGGAAACTACAAATAAAACGGTATGATAAGCCCATAGAAGGCAACTATTTTATCATGTACACTAACACGTGTATTGTATTAGGCCTATCTGAAGGGATTAAACAAAATGCATAGAGCAAAACAAAGAATTTCAGGATATCAGCACCTCATTCATGAGAAACAATTTTAAAGAAATTGGTTAAGCGTTCAATATTAATTATCATAGAACAAAGTGTGCAGGGTGTCCAGAAGTATATCATTCAAATGCAAATTTCATATTCAAAGATCTGCGTCACCTAAATGACATTGATTACCTAATCGAAACAAAACAAGTGCATTAGCCTTCGATTATTATGAAAAGAATATCTCAACTAGTATCGCTGTTTGGTGAAACGTGATATTGATACTTGACCTTTGTACCCAGTTCAACAACAGTTCACCAGCTTTCAAATAAAACAATATTTCATAATACCTAATTGCCATTTGAAATAACTTCTTATTTCAATTAATTTTTTTTAGAACAATCCATACAATGCACTGGATCTCTTTTTTGTAAGTTTTTTTCGACATATTGTAAATGAATCTGTAATCATCATTTATGGAAAAGAAAACTGAAAAAAGTGACTGATAAAAATTTATTCAATAACTTAATTTAGAACTTAAAAAATACTGAAAAGTATGTCCGATAAAAATTCAATAAGTTGATATACAACTTAATATAAAGGGTACTTTTTGCTGCTTACTTTCTAATACATCGAGTT